ATACTCAGCTGGCTCCATGGCAGAGTGACACAGGGAAGAGGGCAGCCATTCATGGCCACAGAAAACAGCAGAGAGCAAAGGGAGGAGCAGGGGCTGTGGCTTGTAGCAAGCCTCTCTCTCTTCCTCACGTAATGCAGATTATCCACCCATGGGCGGGAATAGCACTGACATCCACAATCCCAGCATTGGATCATGAATTAATTACAAATTCTAGAAGCTGCCCCATGACTACATGAGGCTTTGGGGGGACACCTAGACACAAACCATAACATTCCACCTATAACACTATTAGATTCCCAGGGTTTTTGTGTGTTTGTTTTTTTTTGATGCTATTGTGGATTTTTTATTTATTTTTTTTGTCTGGCTCAGCCCACCCTGGGGGTGGTGCTGCTGCAGCATGTGGTTCTGGGGACTGAACCACAGTCCCGGCACACTTGCCTAAGCAGGTGCGTTAGACCGGCTAAGCTATCTTGCCAGCCCTTGGATGCTATTGTGAAAGGTGTTGCTTCTCTAATTTCTCTCTCAGTGAGTGTTACTCATGTATAGGAATGCTATGGATTTTTGAGTGTTGACTTTGTATCAAGCTACACTACTGAATTTGGCTTTAAATCTAGACAGTTTAGCTGGTGTGTGGTGCACACCTATTCTCCTAGTACTTGGGAGGCTGAGGCAAGATTGTTGCAAGTTTGAGACCAGCTTGGACTACAAAGAGCTCAAGGCCAGCCTGAAATGCATAGCCATACCCTGTCTCATTAAGACTAAAAAATACAGAAAATAAAATAAATCTAGGGGCTAGGGAGATAGCTCAGAGGCCTAAGTGCCTTCCTGGCAAGTGCAAGATCCTGAGATTATTCCCCAGTACAATAAATAAATAAATAAAATCTATTAGTCTTTTGGTGGAGTTTTTAGGATCTATATAGAGTATCATGTCATCAGGAAACAATGATAATTTATTTCCTATCCTTATTCCTTTTTTCTCTTGTCTAACTGTTCTGGCTGATGTTTCCAGGTCTATATTCAGGCTGCTTCCACAAAGCTGTCAGCCTCAGGTTGTTCTAGTTCGATCCCCACAACCCTCCAGCCAGCCAAAAGTGCCCTGAAGGCATTCGAGGAGCAAAAAAAGAAAAAAAATCCTTATTCCAGGTCTATATTCAGTGAGTGGTGATAGTGGACATCCTTGTCTTGTTCTTCATCTTAGAGTGAAATCCCTCAGTTTTTAAATGTGTAGTACGATGTTGGCTATTGGTTTATCACAGATGGCTTTCCTTATATTGAGATAATGACCATCTATTCAATTTTTTTTTCATTTTATATTCCAATTTTTTGTAGGGTTTTTATTATGAATGGGTGCTAGACTTTGTCAAAAGCTTTTTCTGCATCTATTAAGATGAGCAGGGGCTGGTGAGATGGCTCAGTGGTCTAAAGCACCTACTTAGAACAAGCTTAGCAAAGCACAGGGACCACGGTTCAATCCCCCAGCACCACATGC